ACAGAATTGCACAAAACATAAAATAATATAAGACATATCCGATATGGTTTAACCATAATATATAAAATACAAATCCTTTGAAGGGCTGAAGAATTTAATGAATAATTGAGTTTTGAAGTAAAAAGTGAAAACTCACATGGATGCATTATTATATCCATTCTGGTATCATTTGCTTTAAAACAATTAAAAGAATTAATAATATTTTGTTTGGCCGAAGCTCTTTCCATTTTCAACCTCACAATCACCATTCAAGTTATTTCATGAACTTTGCATAGAGAAGAATATCAATATTACATTTCTGGAACTCCATCATTCTTTTTTAACCCATCATTAGTCTTTCTCATATCATTCTCCAATTAAATTACGTTTCATAATAGCTTCGCTTACTTTTTGAAGTACTTTTTGAAATGTCAATAATAATCCATTCACACTTCCTTTAGAACTTGCTCATTATCTATTCTGAACTTGCAAAGCCTGCATTACCTTTAAGCTACGCGTCCACTATTTACAACTTTTAAAAGTGCTGTATTAAGATCGTAAACCTTATAATATTAACATGTATTTTGTCGTTAAATAGTAACAAATAATTCTAATTGCGTTTTTTCCTCCTATTAATGTGAGATATTTTTTATACTTGCAATTTATTGAATAAAGTGTAGTTAGTTTTTTTGGGATTTTGTTCCTTTAGTAACGTAACTTATATCTAAAACAATGATCTTGAGTAATTAAAGTTATATTCAAAAGTGATCAATTGGTAGATAGTTGTAATGTTTGATTCAATAAACGGAAGTATAGATCGCCGACGTTGAGGCAACACTTTATTAATTGATTTTATTGAATAAATTTTACATTACACTTAAAACCTTTTTCTTATCGTGTTATTATGTAAACATAAAGAACTGGACGCAACAATTGCTTAAGGAACAAAATCGTACAGTGCGGTAGAAACTAGAATTCTTCAACAATTTCTTCCAAAGAAAGATATCATCATAATCATGAACCCTCACTATTATGGCAAATTTTCGAGTTATTAGCAAAATACGAAGGGACCAAAATGATTACAAAATATTATGATTCAAGAAATGGCCAGGATGATAGATCATCCAACTTTTTCCAGATTATATAACTAAATTACCCACAAAATCACGAATTATACTATCAATTGCTTCATTGTTTCCTCTGACATTTGTAATATCATTTCATTTTTAATACTACTGCTTATATAACAAAAATTTTAGTGGATAATTGTGGAGGGATGAGAGAGCTCAAGAGATCCAAGAAAAACGCGATGTTACGAAAGCTAATGTCAATTATTTGATTAACGATTTACGTGTTGGTCTTCGTGACAGGTATAGAGAGGCGTTTCAATATTCTCAAGCTATAGCACGGGCGATCTTATCCCAAAAATTCATTCCTGGTACAAATAAGTATCCTTAAGAAGTAAGTAGTACAGCCAGAATTGATTGGCTACAAACAATTTGGGCAATAATACTCAAACGGTTTTTCGACTGCTCCTTACATTGGTGTTTTTGCGATTATGGTTTGATCATAACCCAAATTTATAAAGTTCACCCCCACTAAGTGCTCGATTTTGGAAACGCTGCATCTTCCGGATATTAAAGCCTTAAATGATAAATGATAATGAGATAACGACAATAGCGAAAATTCACGCTGGAGCAAGTTTGAATGAAAGTGATTTCCAACTTATAAATCATCTAGAATGGTATTTTAGGTTCATCATAAGGATACAAATTCAGAAAATTATATCGGAATGAAAAGGGAGATTCGATGTATCGTTAAGAGTAAAATTAATAACCGTGTGGTGACGTATTATTGGATTCAAAGACTGAACTAAAATGTACAAAGTTCCATAATGTACCCGATTTCCAAAAAGAAAGGGAAAAATTATCATCAAAGATCTTTTCTTATTCTTTGCTGCTACATGAATGATAACAAATTTCCAAAAATTCCGGATTTCGTTGATTGATTTATCTAACTGGAATAAATTAAATATTTTGAGCCCTATGCTGGCTGAGAACAAGTTTACGTAGAACAAGACCTTACCGCGGAAAGAAGAGATCTCGAGCTAGTATTCGGTCCAAATAGAGCAGACTATCCTAAAAAGAATATTTAAAGTCGCATATAACAAGACAAGTATACCAATAGAGTGTGGAAAAGATTTAAAGCGTTTTTTAGACTAGTATTAATTCGAATGAATATATCATATGACTAAGTAGTGTTGTAATACCTTCATTTTAGATTTTCTTTTTGGAAGATCTAATGACGCCATTTGCAGTCATTTTCACGTGCAAAGTTTATTAAAATTGGTAAATTTTGGAAAAATTGGAAAATTAACCGTAAACAATTATTATTTTTGGTACTTAATAATAAAACACATACTACAGTATAATACATTTTTTATTTTCCCTCACCAAGAAAAATTTTTCATTCGACTAATTTCTCCTCCACTACCTCATTTGAGACAGTACCAATTACTTTGTTCATTACTTTGTCATAATAATGAAAGGGAAAAAAATTTTTCTTTATTTAGCAATAATTTATCATTGTGTGCAATTACCTTCTAACCTTGTTGCACTTCTCCAATCAGGAGCAGAATTAGACCTCTTTCATTTTTTCAATATCTTTCATCCGATAAATTAATTATTGGATAGGAGATACGCAAGTGTAACTCTCCTATAAGAGCACACTACCTGAATTCTTCTTTCCTCATTATCAGATATTTTGATTATCTAATGAAAAAAAAAAATTGACAAAATCACACAGTTTTTTAATTATTATTGATTAAGATCTTATTATTAAAGCATAATTATTCGTTCTTAAATAACTTTTTTAACTTTCCCACGCCGATTCACTACACCCAATCAGGGTAACAATGACTAACTTCATTGCATTAAAAAATGCAAGGCATACTATAACAAGCAAACATTAGTTTGCGGCTAAAAGTTGTTCGTGTTATCATGACCGAAATGAATTAAAGTAATTAATATATTGTATTTTTTATTTAGACGCTGAGGGCCGCAGCAATGAATTTGGAAGATTTCTATTTTTTATTCTTTAGTTTCTCATTTTTTTTTCATTCAAATTTTTTTTTTTCTTTTCGTTTTGATCGCTGGTGGAGTTGTGACAATGTATCGGTTGAGTTACGCCTCAGGGTACTCTAGTTCATGCGATCGTGAAGGTTCAACGTTGTTAATCGTAACAAAAGCAAATGTGATAAAATTATAATTAGAAAGAGAACCGTGAATTTACATATACTTAATTAATTTACATGAAGGATATTTGATTTTCAAAGTTTTTTTGTTTATATATTTTTTTTAAGATTTGAAATGAAGTATACAGATTTGAATAACTTTGCCGTTCTTGTCATTACTCATACAATTATTCATTCAAGTACTCTAATACTCACGCGAATTGGATTACTAGATTAAGATAACATTAATCAGACATACAATTTTAAAGTAGGTTCATGGGTGCTAAAAATTTAAATAAAATAGAATATATAAATTAAAATTTTCTTGAATAAATTATTGTTCTATTAATCATTTTCCCAAATTTATTTGAATGTGACGTTACTCAATACTAAATTTTTGTCAATGCCTAACTGGACTCGGGAAAAGACAGATAGGGATGGAAATAAATTAAAACTTTTAAATTTTTAATATAACAAATTTGGCTAGGATTATAAATTTAAATTATAAAAGAAAAATTTTTATGTTTGATCTAATTTTTTTTTTTTATTCGAACACACAAAAATAAAATTATTATGATATTTTCTTCTAAATCTTAAAAACAAATTTCAATTGTTAATTCACAAAAAAAATCATTTTTTTTTAATAAATAAAGTGATTAATGAAAATAACTATATACAAAATAATGCAAAGTTGTTTGTTGTATAACAAATAAAATATTATGGAAAGAGAATTGGGTATTTGAAAAGGATAAACTAAATTACACCCCCACTTGTATCACTTTATAAAATAATAATAATAAACAAAACAATAATGATATATATTACAAAAGGAAAAGTTATTAAATAATAGAAAATTAAAATTACATAATAATAAAAATAAAATACAACAATTTCTATGAATTCACTGTCAAGTATTGATCTTTTTCAACAGATATTTCCATAGAATCGTCTTGTTGATTTTGTGATAAGTATCGATTCTCATATTTCTCAATATGTAATCTTATTGCGTCAATCAATTCCTACAAGAAAAATATTAAAAAAAAATTATTAAGGAAATTTATCAATATCTCCCACATCCTTTTCTTTTTGAAAAATACATACCGCCTCTTTGATAGGTTTAGTTAAGAAATCATTCATCCCGACATCCATGGCTTTCTTTACATCACTTTCAAAACTGTTGGCAGTCAATGCTAATATCGGTATATCTACACCACGTTCTCTTAATATTTGAGTAGCTTCATATCCGTTCATCACAGGTGTTATGATATCCATAAGTATGCATGCATATTGTTGATTTTGATTTTGATATATATCCACAATATCAACAGCTTCTTTACCATGATTTGCAATGTCCACTAAATAATTATTTCTCGACAACATTTTATATGTTACTCGTTGGCACACCAAATTATCTTCGACAAGTAAAATCTTTAACTGCTTTTGAGGTTCTGAAGAAGCAGTAGCTGTAGAATCAACTTGTACATTGGCAGATATATCTACAGAAGTAGAAAGTTTACCATCATATTCTGTTGTTAAAGTTAATGAAGGGGGACGAGCAGCATATGAAAAAGGAGGTGTGAGTATCGGGTTATCATTTGGTATGGCGAAATGGAGAGGATGTTGCTGTGGTGAATTTGAAGTGGATGATGCACCGACAGAAACAGATGCGTTATTTGGAGGCATCGGCATGTTCGATATATTCCGTCTGTTCGGCATAGAGGTTGAGGTATTTAATGAAAAATTGCTACTATTTTTTGACTTAATTGAACCTGTTTTAACAGACTCGGATATTAGATTATTGAACTCCTGAAGAACAGGTGGAGCATTAGCATTACCACCAGAATAATATGATATTATAGGAGGAAGCGTATTCTCCTGCGATTCTATTTGAACGCTGCTAGCAATGTTTTTGTCTTCGTTCTTGTGTATTATAACGTCGTTCACAGAATTTTGTGAAAAATTAGCAGCTAATGGAGAAGGTGATGATTTATCATAATTACTACTATGAGAAATGGTACTCGCTCTGGCTAATCCAGATGCCAACATTATACTTCCTTTTCTAAAGAAATTAGTAGCGGCATTCGTAGCTGACCTAGTACTGCTAGTATTCTTTGCCCCGCTATTACTTACAAACATTTCTTCTTCATTAGATTCTTCTTCTCCGCTCATGGTTGCAGCTGCTGTCGACGTCAATGTAGCTCTTCGTTTCTTCCTTATCGTACTCTTATATGTTCGGCTAATACGATGTGGTTTTGCTAATGACATGCTCCTCGTGCTACGAAGCTGAGCCTGTGCCTTAAATTCAGGAGTTACTCCATGTTCAACAAAATCCGAGCTTACTAGAATTGTATCATCCATCAATTTACCATCGGTTGACCCGGGTGCGCTGGTAATTTTGAATGAATTTCTGCCTGCACTACCAGCTTTACTAATGACTGTGCTATCAAACGACTCTCTTATTAAATGTCCTTTTTCATTATATTCATTAGCTTCCTTCGTTAATAACCATATCTCAAACCATACATGATTACTAGCATTGGCGCCTTCTTTTGATTTACCACCGCCATCAATATTACTATTCTTGTTCACTTTTTCTATGACTAATCTTCCTCCCATTACCTTAACAATCGCTTGGGCTAATGCCATTGATAAACCTTGTGCATGAAATCTTGATCCAATACTACTATTAGTCTTTGAGTATGGTTTAAATAATTCTTGTATTTCTTCATCCGAACTCAATCCATTACTTTGGTCTCTTACTGAGAATCTCAATAGTACACCTTTGCGACGATGAACTTGTTTCTGTTCAACTATTAATTCCACAATTCCATCGTTCGGTGCAACTTCAATACTCCTCGACAATAATTTCATTAATATTTGTTCCAATCTACGTTCATCACCGTATACTTTTTGTAATAATCCTCCATCAATTATTGTCTTTATTTGAATGTTTTTATGATCTGCTTCGATAGATTGGATTTTGGCTATGCTGTCAACCAGTGTGTGGAGACTAAATTCTTCACACTTTAAATCGATTTCATAAGGGTCTGGATTGGTGAAATGCGTCAAATCGAGAATATCGTTTACTATAAACGATAAGAACTTTCCTGCTGACATTATGCTTTCCAACTCTTCAAATTGTTCTTTTTCTTTCAATGAATTTCGTAACATTTCCGCAAATCCTAATATCGCATGTGTAGGGTTTCGTATCTATATTGGTTCGTAAAGTTGAAATTTAGATTCGTTATATATAAGAGAAAAAATAAAAATTATTTCTCGTAAATTTGTTCATTTTATCGTACCTCATGACATAAAAAGAACAAGAATTCCGTTTTACTTTGATTAGCTAAATCAGCATCTTTCTTGGCTTCCATAACTAATCTTTCATTCTCTTTCTTAAATGATACATCCCTAAACATTACTACTTGTGTAAAATAATTTTTCTCAACAATTGGTTGAGAGAAATTGGCTTCCGCTTCAAATACTGTACCATCTTTCTTTTTTGCTAATACATCCCTCATACCGGGTCTAACAGGTACATCTATAATGAGATTATTTTCATTCGATGGATCGAGTGATGCAAGATTTCTTTCCTCCATTGGTGTTTCAGCTGCAGGAAGCAATAATTGATTTATATGCATCTTATTTGCAACTTTAATTTCCTCCGGTGAATATCCTGTTACTCTTAATGCATGCTGATTAGCTCCAACTATTTCTCCTTTGGAATTCAACGCGACTAATGGATCTGCTATCGCTTCTAAAACAGCTTTTGAATCCGCTGTTATTGATTTAAGAAGACTCTGCGTTCTTCCTAATCTAGCTGTTTGTTCAGTAAATCGATCTTGTGTTTTATAAAGTTTTCTAAAATATTTCATTGATAAAAAGGCAACAAAAATAAAGAACACTGCAATTAGCACAAAAAATACCGCTGGCGAATATCTTGATATTGATCTATTGTATTCAGCCATAGAAGTACTACAAGTAAATGACCATTGACGATCTCCTATAGAACGATTTTCCTGTCTACTAAAATCAGAAGAATGCCAATTTATATTATGATCTTTGGTATAAATAGATGTACCACTTTCTACATCAACTATATCAAATCCAATCCTAGTTTGTTCATCAACTCCCTGTGTGACAGTTTCAATAGTATGGTCCAACTCATACGCTCCTACAATGAACCCATAAACATCGACGTTCGCACTTTGTACCACTTGCTGACCGACGCCTTTCACGAAATTATTATAAAATGGAAAAAACACTACAATCCCTTCTTTTTGTTTATTGTATGCCAGTGGAATTCTCGGAGTTATTGTCAGATTTCTTGTTTGTCTCGCTTTCATAATTGCTGCTTTCCTCTCATTTTCTGATGACAAATCGAAGTTCAATAAGGTCGACGTATCATTTCTCCAAGGTATAGAATATCGTATGGGGAAATATTCCGTGTTATTAACTCGTAGAATTTGCTTTCCATTTTGATCGTCCCACTCTCTAATTATGCCATGTTTCGCTTCATAATTTGAACGTTCAACATCAAGGATTTTTGGAGAAAAATTCATCGTGCGGATATCCTATGTAATAAAGAAGGAAAAGTCAGCATAATCATCAGGAGGGCTTGTTTTATTTTCAAAAAATAAAAAGGGAGAAATAGAAGAGGAAGATCAAGAAAGGACTAGAAAAAAAAAGTTCTATAAAGTAAATAAAAAAATCTTCAATTCTTTCCGTCTATATCATCCCACACTTAAAACCAAATAAACAAACCTAGTTAAGTGGTTACTTTATTATTATTACTATTATTATTACTATTTAGTAATAATATATATATATATATATATATAAGATATACCATTTATATATATATATATATATTTATTTATTTATTTTTAATAAAAATTTGATATTTTCCAGTATAATCCCGTCTTTTTATTATTTTTTTTTTTTTTAAAAAAATATATATATATATATATATATAATAAATAAATAAAATAAAGTTCCTTCTTGTTCTTGCTCTTCCTCAATTTAACTTCACTCAACATTACCATTTCAGTGAATGCAGATAGATTTCCGAACGTGTTCACGGTAACATCGCCTGATGCATCATCTATTATATTTGGGACAATGCCCGCGATTACGGTAAAGAATCCTACAAAGTCCTTTCCAATGTTCAAACCCGTCGTAAAATTAGCAACTATAGCATTTATTCTTTGCATGCATAGATTATCGAATGATTCCTTATAACGTTTTTCTTCTTGTGACATAATAAATAGTAAGACCACAATAGCGATTGAAATTCCTATCAAGAAAATAATCAACGGGATACATATGATGATAAAATTTTCCTTTGTTGGTTTTATTAGTGTGATAAAGTTTCGAGGAGTTTGTGCGGTGGAAGAAGAATTTTGACTTGTACGTCTAGTTCTATAATAAATATTTCTTGATGGTCTAGAACCATTGTCTTGTGGGTTTGTATCATTAGTATCAGGAGATTGAAACGCCAATACATTATCAAAGTTCACTATATGATGGGTTGAACGATTGTTTTCAAGAGAGAGATCCGAAGACCGTCGCCGTGGTTGGTTGTAAAAATCGTAAGCGGTAGTTGAACATAAATCAGAGCTCGCCACCTCGTTATTAGAAATTTCCTCTTGTACAACTTGTATTAAGGAATTTTTTTCGTTTGATATATTTGTAGTGAAAGTCTTTATGGGAGTTAAATTATTATTTCGAAATTCTTTTTCCTTATCCTCATTCTTTTCCTTATCCTGCTGTATAATATTTGAGTTGTTATCGGTCATTTGAGGAAATAACCCGGTAATTATATGAGGTATGGAACGTTGACGAGAAGAGCGACGCCTAACCCTTTCGCTGTCATTCGATGAAAAAAACCAACGTGGATGACGCATATATAAGTAAAAAAAAAAAAAAAAAAAAAAAAAGATTCGGGACAAAAAATATTAGTTAATACCTATATTATAAAGATGGCGTGTAAAATAATGAAAAAAAGAAATGGAAAAGGCACATCGGTTCACATACCTCGCATACTTATTTAATAAACACATGCAAAAAAAAAAAATTTGTAGTATTATTTTATTACCATTTAAACGTTAAACCGATTCGCACAAAAAAAATTTTTTTGTTTGCCATCCTAAATTGGAAATCTTGACTAACTAATTATAGAGCTGAAAATTTTTCACAAAAAATAATTGTAAAAATAGTTATTTCCTACTTTTGCATCTCATTGTTCAACTGGAAAGTTCCTATCTTCTTGAGGCAGTGTCGTAAACCTTTACCCTTACACGGTCAACAATAAAAAGAAAAAGGTTCCCAAAATCTTTGCCAATTCATCTATAATGTAAGTAAATTTGTCCTCCATCAGGATCTGTATGTGCTGCGTCTATTTCCCCCTCCCCCCCGAAAATCCAGGGTATAACAAATTAAATTGTGCTAATCTCATTTTTCTGTAATCAGACATCCTGGATCGTCGGTCTTTTTCACTGACCTTTCATTTCACCCCGGAAAAAAAAAGTATGAAAAAAAAATTTTTTGCTGCTTTCCCAAATTTGTATCAAATCTACTATGTTTTAATATAATATATTTTAAGATAAACTTTCCAAACTTATTTTATCCAACTTTCCCGTTTAATTACTTAAGCCCCAGCGTTTTGCATGTGTACCGAAATTCGGATCTTATATATTTACGCGCATCATCCTTTTTATTTTTATTTATTATATTTTTTTTTCTTTTTTTTTTTTTTTTTTTTTTTTTTTTTTTTTTTTTTTTTTTTTTTTTTGTCTTTTTTTTTTTTTTTTTTTTTTTTTTTTTTTATTTTTTTTTTTTGCCCAC